CGAAATGCAACGCCCTCCAAGGAAACCTTCTGATCAAGGAGTAAATCCAATCCGCCGGAGGAGTATTCCTTTGGCAGGCCCAAACCCAATTCCAATGGTGTTTGGGGGGCATCCATTGGCCAACCAACCTAAAGGTTGGCTAGAAAATACAAGCCAACTTACTGACTTCTCCTAGCAAGACTGTGGCTTGGTTATGAAGAAGGTCGACAAATCTTTCAATAAGAAGCCGTTACCACTTCTTCCATTGGAAGAAGATTTTCCACAGTCAGATTTTCTTTCAGAAACGGCACGATCTTCTTAATCGTTGTATATTCTTCCACCTGAAGAATATAACGGTCATAGTATTTTTCTTTCAATTTTGGAAAAAAAATGTTAGTACTTTATTTGTCCCAAATTCACATCTTGTGATTTTTGGGGGGCAAAACTTGTCCAATCAACTATGTATTTGGCTTGAAGATGTACAAATTTGTCCTCCTCATAAACCTCCAGACCTCGAAGGACAACGAAATTAGGCGTGAGGCTTCAAATCTTCGTTAATAAGCTGTTTAAAGTTTTCGGCCCAATGGTACATTCCGGTTGAAAAGTTTTAATTGTTTAATTCCTTACCAACAGGTGTTGAAATATCACATGGCAAATTATCACTCACATCTAAAATTTGATATGCCTTATAATTCTTCAAAGAATATCAGGCACATCAAATTTGGGGGCCAATGTTTACACTCTATTTTTTAGCCAATGATTAGTTGACACGTGGTGAGTTTTACATAAGACTTGCCATAATTTAAAGTTGACTATGTCAAAAGGGGCCAACCAACATGAAATTGCAAGGTGACGTGAGCCACTGCTGTAAAATTCTAAAGTTGCAAGATTATGGTTATTATCTGATTAGTTTTAAAACGTGGCTAACCAATGTGTAATTGCAGAGTGACGTGAGCCATTGATGTAACCTTATGACGTTAGAAGATCGTGGCCATCATCTAATTAGTTTTAAAACGTGGCCAACCAACATGCAAAGTGACATGAGCCACTGCTATAACAGTTCTGAAGTTGGAAGATCGTGGTCATCATCTGATTAGTTTTAGAACGTGGCCAACCAACGTGCAAGCACTATAAAGGTTGAGGAATATAATGGGACACATGGCGCAGAGATATCCAGTCCACGTGGAAGCATTTGAAGACAACAATGGAATTGCTTGGAACTGCTTTGTTAATTGTCATTTTCATAGCTCGATTATTATGTTGTAACGTAAAAGCCCTATTCAACACATAATTCAAATTACAGCAACATTTCAATACAAATTCTTATTTTCATTGCAATGCAATTTCATTATGTTTAGCTTAAGTCCCGTACTTTACTTTACATTAGATAATTTTATAGTCAATTTAATTACTTTCTCAAGTAGTTCGTTCCTTCCTAACCAGTTAACTATCCCGAAATCCTTTTTCAAAGGCAAAAAACCCTAAGGTGTTCATTCTAGACCTCATTAAGTCGCCTGGTCTTGCAATCTTCCTTCTGAAATATTGTTTGGATTTCTTTTTGGAACTACAGCAGTTCTTGGCATACCCATTCAGCTCCATCGGAACCGACCACTTTTACCGGCCAAACACCCAGTGTATTATTGGAGATCCAAATCCAAGATACATATGTGTCTCGTGTCAACAAAATGTATTAAAGCCATTCTCTTCAATGTATCAGGTTTTAAACGGGTCGTTTGAATACACTTCTCATATAAGACGCACGTTATTTGGTGAAAGAGACTTCGCAACAAAGACACTATTATTTGGTGATAAATACTCAGGCTATCATGAAGTTACACATTATATTACTCATATTAAAAAGGTCTTATTATTTTTTTTTAGGGAAAAAAAGGATCAAACGACCGTATAACAAAACTATACACTTTAATTTATTCAAATGCTTCGTAAATTAATTTTTTTGTAAAATTTTTAAACGTTTTATTTAATGAAAGATTAAATAATATTCCTATTTATTCAAACATGTACTTTTCTGTGATTAGTTTACCAACTATGATAAAACCCAGTGTATTAGAGATGCTTAAATTTAAAATGTAATTGGGATGTAGACGCGTGTCTCAAGTTCGAATAGTTTTGAATGCAAGGGTTGAATCCCCCCCCAGCAGTCCCACGGGGCTGAGCCTACCATGATTTTTTGCAACCAAACATTTCAGGTCCCACGAGAAAATTCATAAAAATTAACTACAAAGCTCTGACATATGCACATGAACAAATAAAAACACACGCACACGTAAAATTTCTGAGTTTATCAGGCCTAAAAATTGTCCCATTACCCGAATGCAGCTCTTGGTTCAAGTTAAAAATTTGAGTCATTTTTCAATGAATCCGATTTCTAAACTGTCGTCAAGCATGTAAAGAGTTATTTCTTTAAAGGACCAGGCAGCAGCAAAACAATCACTAAAACTACTTACAAAGTGATGGCCATTCGAACTATCAAATGATTCTTTTATTAGAAAATAATCATTTAAAAAGTTCCGGAAAACAATTTCGATCTCAAATTTGAAATATACAATACAATTTCCATCACATTCAATGTCAATATTCTACCGAAAATGCAAAATACAAAGTGATGGCCATTCCAACTTTGAAAAAGCCACCAATCTGTCCCACTTCCATATATCAGAATACTTTCCACCAGTGGCGATAGAAAGTATTGTCCCACTTCAAGCATGTGTAGATGTCTAAAACTGAAAAACAGAGTATTACTACAAGTTGCTCTCCATTCTGCAGGATCTGGTTATCGTAATCAAGTAAAATGTTTGAACTCACATCTGACATACATGTGCACACACCCAACACATACTGAAGTCTATGTGACACAGCTTTTTAACCAATTAACCACTCCCCAAAGAAACCCCTATAAAATGTTTGAACTCAAACTCTCTAAAGCTTATCACAACTTGACAGAACAACTCTTACGGAGAACCAATAAAAAAAAAAAAAAAAAAACCAACAAATAAACGTTATGGATCAACTATACATTAAACAAATTTGAGATTAAGAGTTCACCTTAATTTACTTCTCACTCTTAGACGATGGATGGTCTTCACCACTAGCTATTGTAGTAAGCTCATGCTGTGCGCATCTGAGAATTTATATAAACACCCGACATATCTAATTCTACAGATCCCAAATTAAGCAAGGTCCTATTTGTCTCACCTAGGTATATTAGTTGGTAACCATTCAACTTGTAAAAAACCTACCACAAGCATTGTATGCAAATTAAAACAGCTGCACTGACACAACATATGTTGTTATATCTGCTCCATCCGCAATTAGAGCTTTTTACCTAGTCTCTTGATAACTAATAGTTCTGTATTTCTGCACTCGCACGAAACACGACAGATTGAGAGCCAAGTGTCCCAATTTTGTTTCACAAATGGTGCTTTAAATGCTAGGTAAAACAAAATGAGACTATTTCTACACTATAACACTGTCTAACAAAATTAGAAGAGGGAAAGGTACATGTAAGGCAGTTGAACAGATCATTGCTCAAAAATAGTTACCCGAAAACTTGCCTCAACAGGCTGAGAATTTTATAAAACATTGTTCTCCATTTTCCAGATCTCAAATAAATCCTAAAACCTATAAAAAATAAAAAAAAACCCTAATTTAAAATTCAGGTTCACAATTTTTCAAAAGTTCTAAAACTTAAATTCAAGCCCTGATTTTAAAAAATTTATAGAGTTAATACGACAATTTCAATAACCACCCTTTTGTTTATAAACATCAACATTAAACTCAAATGGTTCTAAAGTATACTCTTAAGAGTCTGAACTCATAGTCAAAACCATATACTTCATGCCTGTATGGCTACATTCATGATACAAAGAACTTCATATATAGATACCGCAGTGACTAGAGAGAGAGAGATCAGAGATTACGGCTTGTCCACCTGAGCATATTTTAAGGAAGCCCATCTCTGTTCCAAAATCTCATATGAAAGAAAAAAAATTGGAATAATAATTCCCAATCCTAAAGTTATAATGTATAACCCTGAAAAACTTAACATCAGACAATAATATATCAGGAAATTAAATAGCAAAATTGCTTATTTAAAACAAGACAACCCCATGGATAGTGTTCATTCAATCAAAGCCCCCAAGCCAAATAACTAGCTTGATAGTTGGGCCTCAGAATGCTAAAAGTGAAGGACGAAATGATTATAACTTGATGCCTAAAGAAAAACATGAGTAGACTAATGAAAAACTTATGGGAATCAAAAAAGAAATGGCATCGCCTGGACTTGAACAGGAGACCTTTGGTGTGTTAGACTGACATGATAACCAACTATACCACGACACCTTGATATCTGCATTTTCAGAAATTATATCTTATAAAGTGGCTGTAATATGAATGTTTCTAGCCTATTTAAGTTAACAAGCTGAGTATTTTTGCATTAATAGAAATTCATGTACCATTCATGAACAGCACATTGGTTGCAACTCTATCTGCTGCCATAGACTGCACCACCATGACGTCGCTCGTCTCAGCCTGCACAGCCTTTGTCATGCATGGTATACCAGACCCTTTTCCTGGATCACCATTATGTTATCACGGTGCTAGGTCAAACACGAACATGGTACGTTTAATTACCGTGTCAATTTGGGTCGACACGAACACGATAAAGCCAAACCCAAACCCACTTATCTCGTTTCGTGTCCAATATTGCCACCCCTTAATATCACCGGACCCTTTTCCTTAAACAACTACCTTAACAGTTAGGTCTTTCAGTTTTCCTATAGATATCATCTTTTTGCCCTTTGTTCTTAGGTCAATCGAAATGTGCAAGCCACAACTCAATCATCTTCACAAATTCAAGATGCCAGTTTCAACAAATCTAGCAATTATTTTTCAGCACATTAGACATGAAATCTTTACCCTCAAAGATACTCTAAACCCATTCTCTTCCCTGCTTTTTATATCTTTATGGACCAGTTAAACTAGTAGAGACAGTGAGACACTGTAAAATAATGAGAAAATAAAATTCAGATTATTTTGACAATGTACAATTAAAAGATTCAGAAACAGAAAACACATGATACAGATAAAATGTAATTGGATTCCTATTTGCAGGTGGGAAAGTTGAAAAAATTGAGTACAGAACAAAAAATATATATATAGACAAATTCTCGAATGCAACAACTAACATCTTCTCCCTACCAAAAAACAACAACTAAAATCATCACTGAGAAAGAATTAAAGTAAGTCAAAGTAATTGACTGTTACCAATCACCACCATTGATGCACAAGAACTCCCCTCCTTCGTAAAGAAGACAACAGTTCCAAGCATTGGGCGTATGTCTTTTGATACTTTGAGCTCCTCTCCCCGGGGCAACATCTCTGCCATCTACTGTAATGGCATTCAATAAACAACTCATCGATCAAACAAATTGCTCCGGTTTCCACCAACCTCGGAATCAAATGAAATTCAGTCCCTTCCACATCCATTTTCATCACCACGAAATCTCTCTCCGACACTGTGTTCTTCAACCAATTCGCAAAATCAAATCCCACAATCCTATCCAGATCACCCACAAAATTACTGGAGGACTGCGCAGCTTGAATCCTACCCATTCCTCTACCTCTCTCCTCATTTTTTCGACTTGGTTCGCGATTAATTTCAAAAAACAGAGTCTCATTCCTCACCCATGCAGCATAAGGCAAAAGATTTACTCCTTTCTTCATACTATACTCTGCGTGGAACGCCTTGTCGGCCTCAATTGCATAAATGTCAAAGGTTTTGTTCTGTTTTGGGTACTGTTTATTAAACCAACTCCCAATGCTTGAACCATAATTCCTAGCTCCAACATCAATATATACATACTTGGACTTAAAACCAATATCCACCATTGAAGAAAGATACCTAATGTTCTTTACATTCCTTTTCAATGTAATCCAAGGCTTTAATGGCTCTGGTGTGATCAAAGGCTCAGCATTCCGTGTCAATTCCTGTTTATACCCCTGAACAGAGCATCTATTCACCGAATTGGCATTCAAAGCTTGCTTCTTTTTCTTGCCATGGCCAAGAATTTCATTTTCCTTCTTCAGAACAATCTCGCGAATCGACGGCATCGATGAATCGAAACCGTCGATATCGCGTGCCCTAATCAATGTGCAAGAATTGAACAAATCAAGCAATGAGTTGAGACTGTACAGGTCTTTGGACAGTGTGTGGACGACGAAGAAGCCTCCCGGTTTGAGCGTCCTCGATACCTCGGAAGCGAACTCGGCCGGATGAGCCGACCGGTCCAGACTTGCATTGCCGGAAAACTCGAAATCGAAGGTGTTATCGTGGAATGGATGGCGAACGGAACGGCCGGAGACGACGAACGGCGGGGAAGGTTTCTTGGAAATTCCGATGGAGTCAACGACTCCGATTTCCCGCAGAGCTTCGACGTCTTGGCCGGTTAGGGTTTCGATGCAGAGAGCCTTGGAGTCCGGCGAGAGGAAGCCTTCGGCGATCAAATCTTGGAAGACCGACGAAAAGTAATTCTGGAGGTGTGCGACGGAGGTTGCGGGGGAGGGATCGGAGACTCTGACCGTGTCGGAGAAGAAGCAGAAGTCGGCGGAATCGCTAACGATGAAAGCGGATCGAGCGAGAATTATGAGAATGCCAAATGAGACCACTCGCACCAGAATATCGCTCCAGAGACTTGGTTTACCTACGATAGGTTCCATGGTGTTACTGAATGTATGCAGAGAGAGATTGAATAAAATATTTGAGAAATCAAAGAGAGTTATTTATAGGTATGGCAAAAATTCACATTTCGAAAAAAAAAAAATTCCCAGCGGGCATGCCTTGAAAAATCCAACGAGTTTAGGTCGGTTAGGTCGGTTTCGCCATAAATATATTATTAATTTATTAAATTACACTTATATATTAAGAAATTTTAACCGTTTTATGTTTCAAGTCTTGTAAAAAAAAAATTAGCAGCAACCATGGCCGGCCTTGAGATTTCCAAAAGCGACCTTCCCTTTATAAAATTTCACACACACAAAAAAATTATAAAAAGGGAAAATTTTCATTAAAATGAGACAATAAACATATAAAATATATTAATTTTGAACACACAAAACAAAACCCATTTTTGGTGTATTATAACTAGCACGATCCAATTTACATTAAAAAATTAAAAGAAATATTTAATACAACTTAGTTGCAAATATTAAAAATCAAGTTCATATCAAAATAAAATTATCAATTAGAGTGCTCCAATCAAATTTCTCCAACATATCTTTTTCAATAAGTATCATACCCAATCAATTCAATCTCTTGTGACATCATAACCGTTGGTAAGATTTGATCAACTTCAACTTTGTAATTGGGATAATCAATAATACTCTATATGTAATCCAAACATTTGAAAAATAATAACTTTTAACTTTTTATAAAAAATCAAATACTTCAATTGTCTTTTTTGTTCGTCTGGTTAAAATTCCGTAATTTTGAAAATAATTATATCCCATCAATATTATAAATTATGTCACATTTTAGGAAATCTTACAAGGTTATTTTGAAAAATGTGACAATTGATTGCACATATTAGTTAAAAATTTAGTTATTTGGACGGGAGTTAATAGAGCCATGTATACACACAAGTCCAAAACTAATATGATAAATATATATATATATATATATATATATATATATATATATTTGAACGGGGAGGGATAGAAACAAATTACTGTATAACATATATAAATTGATATTATAAGTACGTGTATTTATTGTCATAAATTTTTTTAAAATTTTTTTTATTACCATAAATTTACTTGACATATAACTATATATTGTTTTTTAATTATGAAAATTATGACCTGAATGTTAGAAATATACTACTATATTTGTATTATGGTCCTAAATTTGTTGAGCCTTCTAAATTGGAGGCCCTAGTCGCCGCCGGGCAGGGCCTGCAATTAAGGATGACAAAAATTTCCACCCCATAAATTTTGGAATGATTATAGAAATAAAAAAATTAAATGATGATGGGGATGAGAATTAAGATCTCTGCCCCATTATCATCCCTAACTTGTTTACAGCGTATTAAATTTGATGGAGTAATGAAATAACTAAATGAAGTTATTTTCCTCCTCCTGTTTTTTTTCTTCGGCAAAATCTTGAAGACGACGTCATTTTCCTTATTTTAAATCTAAAGTGATCTTATGCTAAGAGCCACTAACTAATGAATTGAAAATTTTATTAAATTAATTAATTTGACTTTTTATATATTTTCTTCAATTCAAAATAAGTGTTCTTTTTTGGAACTCTAACTTTTTAAGTGAATAATTTTTATTATTTTATTATTATATTATTAGTGAATTGATTATCAAATTTATCCTAGTGTGTCCACAATGATGCAATGGTTTACTTTTTATAGATTTAATATAAGAAAGTTAAATTAGTAATATTACAAAAAAAAAATAGTACATTTACTTTTCAAATGAGATTCTTATTTTGAAACGGATAAAAATAAAAAGGTGAATACTTATTTTGGAATGAAATGAATATCTCGTAAACTCTCAATTATGTAGTTAAACAAAGAAGACTCATACCTTCTGTCATGTCATGGAAGAATTCTCGTGATAGCATTTCTCTAAAATCTATCTGATGACAAAATAATCATTTTTAGTTATTTCGATTTGAGCAATGCTACACTATCACAAAATTTATTTTAATATGTGAATCACAAAACACAATAATCATGATTGGTTTGCCTTTCAAAAAATAGTTTTAAAAATGGAAAACTATATAAAAAAATTTATTTGATTTTATTTTTTGAAAACTATTTTTTTAATAAAACAACTGTCATTTATTGTTTTTTAAAGACATTCTTAAAAATTGTTTTCAAATAACTAAGCAGGCCAGTATTATTATTTTTTTTCAATTTTATACACTGAAAAAAATAATAATAATAATAAAGAATGGCATCAAATGAATTATTATAATACACCCCAAAAAAAAAGTTTGACATTGGCATTGTTACTTTGTTAGGTAGGTGTGGCCTGGACCCCTGGTGGGCAACCAGGGGTATCAAGTAAATTTCAAATTTATCAGTTGACCATCGCTAGCGTGGGCACCAAGTAATGCACAGCTGCAAATCTTTGACTCATTCAAAGATTCTTTACATATTTAAACTATATATATATATATATATATATATCTAATAGTGTATAGAACTCTTTTGTGTAGTTTTTTTTTTAAAACAAAAATAGTATTCTTCATAAATAAATTTTTAGAATACTTCGCCAATATATATAATTTCTAGTGCCATATGCTCCAATTCAAGGACTGAGTTGGATGCACTGAGGGGGTTCCATTCCGGTCGCGAATTACCTGCTGTGCAATTTTTATGTAGTTTCTTGCAGTGAACAGTAAGTGGCATTGGTTTGGTCACATTTTACTCCACTTAATAGACACTAACATTGTATCTGGCAATTGCACAATTATTTATATGTAACATTTTACTACCATTTTTAAGTATCATCATATAAGTTTAAAAGTAATATCACATAGTTTAAAAAGTAACATCACCACGTTTTGAGGGCAAAAGTTATTTATAAATGGTGGTGATGTTACTTTTTAAACTATGTGATATTACTTTTAGACTTATGTGATTTTACTTATAAATAGTAGTGATATTACTTTTTAGACTATTTTTACATTTCACCACCATTTATAAGTAATATCACAGAGTCTAAAAAGTAACATCACCATTTGTAAAAGGAAATATCACCACTTTTAATTTCAAATAATAACATAAATGATATGTAAAATTGAGTTATGTTTATACGTAACATTACTTTTTAGACTATGTGATGTTACTTATAAATGGTGGTAAAATGTTACTTATAAATAGTGGTGTAATTAGCCAAACACAGCCTTAGTGTCCGTTAGTTGAAGAATGATGTGGTCAAATATAGACTACTTAAAAGTTACAGCAGGAAACTGCATGGGAGCCTCACTGCAGGTGATTCGCGCCATCTCCATCCCAATGTGTCCAAGGGTCGACAAATAGTCGGCCCTTGAATTCGGGTCTTCATTGATATACAAAACATTATTCTTCTCAAATGCTTTTTTATTTATTTATATATATCTTTGTGTTTTAAAAACAATTTATACCTAATTGCTCTATTTAGAAGTAACATCTTGATTTTTAAAAGAATAAAAGCTTCATCATCAATTAATTAATGCCTTGCCTTGTTTTGTTTTTGTTTTTGTTTTTATTTTTATTTATTTATTTATTTTTTTTTCACACACCGAGGAGATACGAGCATGATAATAGCCCGACATCATTTACTTTGAAAGATTGAAGAGATACGACAATAATAATAGTAACTCTATAATAGTTTCAATTATTCTCAGCTTCTATTTTCATATTTAATTTTCATAAATGAAAAAAAAAAAAAAACACCCCATGGTCCATTACATTCTTTTTTTCTTCAACACAAAAAGGAAAGAAGTGTCTACCTATGATGAAATGATGTAACAAAGCACTGAATTTCACTAACCTCTGTGCCATATAAATTATATAATCCTGAATATACAAAATCAAATTCCATTAAAAAAATATACAAACAAACAAAATATGAATAAACAAATGAGTCTAGCTTCCTCCTCCTATTGATTATTGATACTTCTGGAGTCCAAACCTTCCAAAAATTGGGTGCCCTATGTGGCGCAAGCAGAAGCAACATCTTGGTACCACACTGGGTTAGCTAGAGTGGTGTTGAAACTCTAAGCCCATGACACCTAGCATAGAAAGGACTCAACAAAACTGTCATTAGTGGGCTCTTCCTTGGCTCTGGAAAGAAAAGCGTCCATGTGCTGTGACTGAGTCATGTAAGAGCCCATGTAGTTTCCAAACCCTGAGAACCCTAAGCTCCTAGGGCTCTGCAACATCTCTAATGTGATGGGTGCTTGCCCTTCAGATGTTGGCATCCTAAAATTGCGAATCGGGTCGATGACCGACTCGTCAGACTGATCGTTGGTCATGCCAGAAGGCCTTGTCGCCATGTCTGCATTGTTGTTCTGCCTATTGGCGTAATGGCTGCCACTACCTCGTGGTGCAGGGATGTCATGGTTGTGCTTCCCCTCGTAGGTTGTTATCACTGACCTTAGATCCTGTGACGCTCTCTCTACATGCTTCCTCACCGGGCATCCAGGATTTGTGCACTTGTAGTAGCTCCTGTGAGTAATAAAAGAATCATAAAATTAGACAAGTTCCAAGATCATCTAATTGAAAACATTAAAATTACAAATCAACACCCTTAATGTGGTTTGAAAAGAGAAAATGCAAACTACACAAGTGTATTGTTTGCCTACACCATTACATGACTCAACTGGTCACAAGCAAGAACCCGGATTCCCTCCGGAGATCCTGTGCACTCACCCCGTGCACCGGTACAGCACAGCTACATCATAGTGTAACACAACAACATCACAATACAACACAAGTATATCACAAAAATGCAATACCCATGAAACAACTTTTAAAAAGTTATGCACCGCATTTATATCGAAGATGCAACATATTATGTTGTGTTACAACGTTATAACACCATTAAATCGAAAATTTAACGCATTTATATAGTTGTTGCATTGTCTGATGCATTCACGACATTTGTTGTGCAATAGGGCACATTATGGGCAAAGGACAAAATGGAAACAAGAGAGGATCTTGGTTCCACAAGCAAACCCAAACAACCCAAACTCAGCCCTTCTATAACTAAGTCATATATCCTTTTTTTCCTGAATAAAGTCGTATATCTCAACCGACATCTTTCAAACAACACAATCCTAAGTTGGGTAGTTACCTAAATAACAGGATTAAAACAATTCACAAGGTAAATTTAGATATGCAAATAGATAGAATCCATTTCAAATAGTGATTAATAAAAGATTATGATGTGTTTCCCATGTAAGGAGGTCAATTTACCATAGATTGAATAAAAAGAAGCTTGTTTGGAAATGGAAACACTGAACTCTAAATGTGTGCTTGGAAAATATTAGAAGTTCGAAACTACATCACTTTTTTGCAAGTTAGAAAATAAAGTTGAAATGAAAGCAAGCTTTTTACCTAGGATTTGGATTTCCCTTAACCACCTTCTGCCCATACTTTCTCCATCTATAACCATCATCAAGAATGTCAATATCACTTCTTGTCTGCACTACAACTCTAGCTTCTCTCACTGCACTACTCCTTGGTGCTGATATACCTTCATTTACGTTCTCGCTTTTCCTGGAAAAGGAAATGGAACATAAATCTGATTCTTACTAATCAAATGAAATCCTTTACACAACATATATATATATATATATATATATATATATATATATATATATCAAACTTACCATCTTTTGGTCTCAGGTACTTCATCATCATAATATTCTCCAACTGATTCTCTCTTCAGAGAGCTTTGATTAAAATCATCCTCCCCAAATGAGATTGAGGAATTCTCATGTGAGACGTGCGACTGATCTGAGATCTCACTGGTGGGAGGATTGCAAGATTGAATTGCTTGAAATTGAGAAGAAGCTGCAGAGGATCTCTTAGTAGATTGAGGCTTGGGATGGTTATGATCACCCTTGTAAATAATCTCAGTAATTTGCCCCTCCAAAGACCTCTCAACTTTCTTCTTCATTGGACAATTGGGGTATGTACACTTGTAATAACTCCGCGGATTTTCGCTCCCTTTCACTTGTTTCTGCCCATATTTCCTCCAGTTGTACCCATCGTCTGATTTTCCCTGCGCTCTCATCGCTGATTGATTATAGTGATTGCCATCAAATTGGAGCCCACTCTTGGTTTGTGAGTTAGTTTGAATGGTGGCTATCTCCGGGGACATGCTCTGCATCGAATCGAATTCAGAACTTACCATACTCTTTTGCGACGATAGACCATCTTGCTTGGTGGATCCTTGTAAACTCCATGCTTGTTGCTCCTGAAAATTATGTACAAATTCCAAGTGTGACAATCCATATTATGATAGGAAAGAAAAAAAAATAAAAAAATAAAATAAAATAAAATAATTGAATTGCAGTTAAAAACGACCAAATGGAGACATACTGTTGGAATTGGGTTGTTTTGAGATTCAAAGTTTGATATGGATGATGTGGGGATTCTTGTTTGGGGGTGGAAAGAGAAATCAGAGTAGTTTTTCTCTTCTTGCTTGATGCCCAGCTGGTTGTTGTTGGAATTGCCCTTCCAATTGAAGGACTGACTAGGAAATGTCCCAGTAGTGGGAGATGGTAGAATCTGCAGATAAATATAAACAAAACCTTTTCATAAAGAACTGGACAGACATGACAAAATCCAATCAAACAAACAATTGAAAAATAAAAAATAAAAAAAAATCATATATAAAATAAACTTAAGACTAATTTCAAACTGAAATGGGGAAGAAAAAAAAAACATCGGTTCAACATAATCCTCTGTTTGGTTAATAATAAGAAATCAAAGGAAAGAAAAACAGAATCATACAACACCAACTCAACTAAGCTCATTCTCGTACAATTACATAACGGATTTAAAACACAATAACCTAGTTTTCTCAGAAACAAAAATTTCAAATTGAATGAATAAAAATTATGGGTTCAAACCTAATCCTCTGTTTGGTTAATAAGAACCCAAAGGAAATTAAAGGGAATAATACAACACCAACTCAACTAAGCTCAGTCTTGTACAATTACTCGAGGGAGTAAAAACATAAGAACTCCATGTTAATTTAATCATTCACTTTTTTTTCTTTTCTTTTTTTTTTGTTCCTTAGTTTTCTCATAAACCAAACAGTAAATTGAAAAGCAAATGGGTAGGTAGTGATGAAAAGCAAAATGGGTAGGCAGTTAAAACACAAGAAATAAATGTTTTGATTCAATTATTTACATTTTTGCCCCCTTAATTTTCTCAGAAACCAAACAGAGACTAGATGTAAATGAAAAGCAAAAAGGAAGCGATGATTAGAGATACATACGTTGTTATAAGAGGAGAGGAGGATAGGGGAATCCAAGAGCTCAGCTGGGCTTATTCCAGCAGGGATGGAGAAATACGAGGAAGGGGAGAACGAGGGCGGAGAGATAGGCAGCGACGGTGGCTGGATTGACTTGAATTTGGGCACCCCAGAACCGGTTCGCTCGGCGATACGATCGGAAAGGCCGCGACTGACGGCGGGGTAGTCGTCGGCGGCGAGCAACTGCGAGAAAGAGGTGGTGGTGTTCATCAATCGGGTCGGGAGATGAAAAGGGTTTATGTTGGTTTCTGTAATTTCTAATCGCCGGTGGTGGGTGTGGGTCAGATTCAGAGCTTGCTGAGTCTTTGAAAGAGAGAGAGAGAGAGAGAGAGAGAGAGAGAGAGAGTTATATGTGGGTGGGAATGAAGGGTAGAGTTGGAAGAAATGAAAATGAAGACGTATGGCACAAGCCTCTCGCTTCATAGATGCATCACCCCCCTCTCTCACTTTCTCTCTCTCTCCTCTTTGTTTATTCGGAGGGATCTTCCGGGAAGTTCATAAGAAGTTTGACCGTTGAAAATAACAAAATTTTAAAAATAATAATAATAAGATAATGATTTTTTTATTTATTTATTTCAGACTTGCACTTTCACACAAACAATTAATAAGTCTAAAAAGTTAAACAATAGTTTGTCATTTTCATAATCACTTTTACTTTCATTACATTTGGGGTATGAAATTGGGGTTTTGATATTTATATATATATTGACTCTTAATAGTAGAATTGAAGTTATATTTTTAATTTAATAAGTATATAATTTTGTATTTTAATTTAATATATAGCATTCTTTTTCTTTTCTTCTGTTTATTATTGTAGTTTTTTCTTTTGTTTATAAAAATGTTCCCATTTGTTCCCATGGCCTGTTCATATTCATTTTTTACATGTAGAATCTTAGATATGCTATGTTTAAAAATATTTAAAGCTTTTGATTTGAAATTGAAAAAAATTACTTTAAGTATATTTACTTTTTTATATTATATTTTATAATATTTACGATTTATCCTACTTACATTGAACTTGAGACTAAATTATATTATAAACTTTCAATTTTCGTTGATGTGAAAAGAGTGGCGGGTGAATCATATCCCATGACATTATATCGATATCATATGGTGAGACATTCCACTCACTAATTATCAAATTCGGTTTGTAAATTATTACTTTAAAAATAATTAAAATGTAAAATAAAACATGGATAAATTTGTTTTTTTATTTTTATTTTTTATTATCTCTTAGAAATGTGTATCGTTCCCATAACATACGAATCATTCAAGTCATGAGTGTAATTCGAAAACGAGATCTTAATAATTTACTTCCCACAACATACAAATCATTTAAGTCCGAAGTGCGATTTAAAGACGAGACCTTAATGACTTACCTCTCACATCTCTATCAATGTCACCCTGTCTTTGGGAATAATTTGATCATTTATTTAAACGTTTAAAATCCAACGGCGGAAAAATAATATAAACTAATTTTTTGAATTTTTTTTTTTTATAAAAACATTGATGCTTTTCAAATAAATATAGAACAAAAATTCATTTATTTGCTTCAAACTCGGTTGCGTTGGTGAATACACGTGGTTCGAAAGTGTCGGGATAGGTGAGCCGAGTTTAAATGTGAAAGCATTGTCATCAAAGTGGATAAAATGGTTTTGGTCAAAGCTCGTGGGTTTGACTGGGTTGGTGGGCTATAATATAGATAGGATGGAGGCGACGAATGTGAGATATCTGGTAATTGCGCACTCATGTGAACGGGTCGGGTGTAAACCGTAGACCTCATTAAAGGATGTCACGTGTTCTCTCAACTAGATCTGACAACAAATCAACCTCCATATTTCTATTTACAATTTTTAACAGATTGGTTTTTAAACAATTGAGAGATAAATTGTTACAGAATTTTTTTTACTATATTTTTAGTAAGACCTATTTTTATTTTTATTTCTGCTAGCACTTTTATTCCCTATTTAAAAAAATTTACAAACAACTCCTTTAATATTGTAACATTGTGCGAAAACACCCCTCAAATAAAAATTTGACCTAAAATAATGTTATAATATTTATTTTGCCCTTTTATTCTTCCAAGTATAATCAAGGAAGTTTTGTGTATATATATATTTTTTTGATGAGTAAAGAAAGGTAAATTTTTTTTTTTTATTATGCTCGTCAAAACTACATAGCTTTATGATTTTATGATAGAAGTATTTTTGGGAAAATTAAACTACTTAAGGGAATTATATTTTGACTAAAAACTTATTTTCCTTTCAACTAAATTTTTTCCATTTCTTTTCATTTCCTCTACTTCTACCAAACCAAATGATTGGGCAAGTAAACAGTATAAAAATTGTAATTTGTTGTTTAATATAAGTTTCTGAATATATTAATATTTTCTTTTTGATAATTAAGTTGTAGAATATAAGTCGTTAGGTATTATAACAGAATATAGCAAACTATAACCCCACCCTAATGGGACCGGTTTGGATCTCCTTAAAGGGGGTTGTGTCCCGGAAAAAAACATAATCCTAAATAGAAACAATATTCTTTCTTTCCACAAAAAAATATTCACCTTTTTTTATTTTTTATTGCCCCAGAATAATTATACCAAATTAAAATTTAATGTATTAATTTTTTAATATTCTAAATTTACTCTTCTTATCTTAAAGTCATAAAAGTAATTAAAGTCATGTAAATTCACCATAAAAGAATATATTTAAAAATTTATTTCTTATCACTATAATAAAAAAATATATATAATTAAAAATTACACTTTAAAAAAATTAAGTTTTAATAAGAGACAAAGGACAAACGAGCAACGTGATATATCCGGCTCACCCAATACTTATTCAAAATGAATGAGTTCCTCCTAACGTTTGATGAACTTTCCTAAACTTGATGAAAACTAGAAGGTATCAGTATGAAAGTAACTTTCTTGTATAAAAAGTAACAAATAAAATAGCATTTCATAAAGACTAGGTTCAAGCCAATCCGTTGGTGTTTAAAATTAAAATTGGCACAAATGATACGGACAATGGCAATTAGTCAACATTAAGAAATAGACTTCCCATCCACCTAAATTATATATATATATATATATATTTGGTGAATTCAGCTTTAATTTCAATCTCATTTCAAAGTCTTCTATATATTTTTATCTATTTACTTTAAAAAAAAAAAAAAAAAAAAAAAAAAAGAGTAATGTATTCGGTTTACAAATGAGACTAATTCTCTCTGCACACGTCTTTTCTTTAAAAGCAAAGATGTACACTCCAAAAGATATGGTCACCACATGTTAGAGATTAAGCCACGTGTGACTTAAATTTTATTATTTTTAAGCAAAAAAACTACTCCTATTTCGATTTAAATTTTATAATATTTATGCTTCCTTGGCCCAACCATCATTAAAATTTGAAGTTCTCAAAAATGTCAACGGAAAACTTGTAACAAAATGGGGTCAAATTTATTTTCAATATGACTCGTCATGATTAAAGAGCCATGGTCTATTAATCAACCTCATTATTTCGACAAAATAATTAAACTCTTATTAATAGACTTTGACAAAATAATTAAACTCGCTTACTAACGGGATTAGTCAGATGGTATGCATGACCTACGCACTCTAAAAAGAGAATTGAGACTTCAACCTCCGATAGGAACAATATTGTAGATTTACACACTTTTGCTTGAACATTTGAAGAAAAATACTAATTATTTAACTCAATTTACATGAAGAACCAAAACACACACACACACAAAATTAAAATCAAAATCAACTACCAACTACATATTGGTCAAATGATACCAATAAACTGATCCTGGTCAACTCATGATTTGCCTATAGTCAAGTGACTAAGAAACTGATCCTACAATTCAATTTGAAGATCAATGCAATGAGAGGGTTAAAGAGTTAGTTACGAGAGACCAGTGTTAAAACATCCTAAAATGAACAAGAGCATTCAGAACATCTCTGATATACATAAGTACTGTGACTCATATATGACTAGACAAAACAAAGAACATTGTCATTGGTACTCGGCAAATATACGGTATTACAATGTATAAAACTCTTCCCAATTGATTGATACAATTCCTCAGTAAAAGCTACGCAGACACAAAATCATCACTTACCAAGAAAAAAACATTGCTTACTACTTCTTGGCGTATGCGATGGCCATGGGGTGCTGAGGAGTGATTTTGAAACCCTGAAGGGCCTGCATGGCGACCGAGGACTGCACATCATCCTCGTATTCTACAAAGGCAATTCCCGGCTTTGCCTCGATCATTCGAACTTCCCTGAAACCAGGGTATTGATCGAACAGAACTTGCAGCATCGAACTGATTGTCTCGTGGGGTAAGTTCTGTATAAAAAGTATATTGTTTGGAGCTGCAGCTGCTTCTTGTGAGCTTGGCTTTCCTTGGCGGAAGGATGCCTGCATGCAACACAGGAGGTTAGATTGGTTAAAAAACGTAGGAAGCCATATTCAAACAGAAAGAACATAAAAATATCAAATAGCATATGACATACATGCAAAGAGCTGAATGTGGGATTGAAAATCCACCTATTTCATTTATGATTTAATTTTGATAGACCCCAAAACATGAAAACAAATTATTTTCCAGAGGTCTATTCACATTTCTCATCTATATCAGTTTATTATGCAAACACCACCCGTAACAAGCCCATAATTTCAAGTTTTTTTCCCCCCCTAAATAGCCCATAATTTATTTTCCAGAGGTCTATTCTCATTTCTCGACCATGTCAGTTTATTATTCAAACACCACCTATAACAAGCCCATAATTTCAAGGTTTTTCCCCCCTAAATTGCCTGAGCAAATCATCGCACCATACTGCGGTCCATCATTCAGTTTCTTTTTAAATTTTTTTAACAATAATCAAAACTCAAGTTCTTCCAACTACCCTCCAACTCAAAACTCCATAAAATACATACATATATATACAACAAAACACACACACACAGAGGCAACTCAATAACACAAGAAAGAAACACGAGCAAACTTACAGATGGGCCTCCATTACTATCTGTTCTTGTACCATTAGCAGTAGCCGATTGCTGCGTTTCTTCAGCACGTCTCTTTCTTTCAGCTGGAAGATATAGGTCAGAAAGGAAAAATGACACCACATCAATAACAGTCAACTCATTCGCATAGCTCAGCAAGTCAAACACAGAAAACAAAGATATCAAACTGGAACTTCAACATAAGCCACCTCATTAGTGATTCAATAGTCTGTCCACTCCTAAAAACATGTCACTATTTCAACTGAAAGTTCTGTTGTATCATCCGTTACAGCAGATATGGTGGTTCATAATAAAAAAATTCCCTGTGAAGTGAATTACATTGTTTTTACAGAATATGCTGCTATTAAGATAGAAAATCATTTTTTATTTTGCTTTTTCTACCCTACATCTCACATCACATGCTCCCACTAACATTTTTAACTGGATCTCAATTTGTCAGCACCACATTAATAACTACATTGTATGCCGCAAATTCATCCATGGTAATGAATATTTCTGAATTGTGATTTGTGAAATTATATTAATTCAGGCAACTAAAAAAAATTTGGGGGTGGTGGGGGGAGGGTGATTTGTGACAAATATAGTAGGATGGAAATTGCAAAATGACTTCTGTTCACCTTTTTCCTCTTGCTTCTTTTTCTTATCTCTTGGGGCAAAGGTTCCATCTGCTTTAGCAACACAATCCGACTTTGTTTTTGCATATTGTATCCGCTGCATTACATCAAATGCTCACAGGGTCATAATGTAAAATGGAAAGGCATCAAATGCATGCACAGTTCCCTTAATAAAACATTATACTTACCAATATGAACCTTTCCGAAGAGAACATGAAGAGATTCACACACAGGCATGATACATAATGTAAAAGTAAAGGCATCGAAGGCATGCACATAATTTCAGTAGCCAAATGGTGTGGTGCTCAAACTCCGCTCGATGAATTATCAAGAATGTGATCAAGCCTGACTTATTATCACATGAGCTGATCTCAGGGGATCAAACCGGACCAATCTTGTTCCAAGATTGATTATTAGTTTGGTTTTCTAGTCTTAGGATGTTCTTCAGCTTATCAAGCTGACTTTGCGTTGAGCTCAATAAATTAACAGGTTTCAAGAAGTGATTAAGCTTGGCTCATTTATCACGAGTCAATCTTGAGCGACCTTAACAAACCGATCAGGAGCCAAGCTAGAGTACTTTGGTTCATTTGACAGCCTCAACCAATGTATTCTAGAAAAACAAATAAATGATATAGCCACTACCCTTTCGTCAGGTCAAAACATTCCGATATATGCATGAGGCAGTATATAATGGTATCTGAAATTAAGCCTTGAACAAATTCAACCACACTATTCATTTAAGTGAAGGAGTCACTCGTCCTCCCTACATCTTCCACTTCTTCTCTTTTCTAATTTACTCCTATCACTTGAAACCAATTATATGCTGGAAACTAGAACTAATTGGAAGAGCAAAGAGGGAGTTGCAAGGAGGGAAACTTGAGAGATATATAATGTAATATGGAGCACGAACTTCACGTGTGCAACCACTCCAATGTATCTATAGTGACCAAGATTTATATTTTATTCAACTGGACCAAACATTATCGCAATTTAAGATTTCTAAAACATAATAAGAAAAGCCAGTAAACTAATTAACCATCGCACATCATTTTGCAAGGCAACTGAAGAACAGGATCAACTACAGAACTATCAATCAATGACCAATAATTTCACTTTAATCAACAAACTGAACAAAGAATAACTCTTTCTATTTTCGTGCATATAACAAGGACTAGAAGTCTACAATACTGAAGTGCCACTGCCAACTGCCCCTCAGTAATTTATGATCCATTTGGCAAGAGGGTAAATAGGGTGGAAGGAAGGAGGGAAAGGAAAGAGAGAGGGCTGGTAGTCCTCCATGTATGGTGGGAGTAAAAAGGGAACAGAAGAGAAGAAAGGAGGGAAGGCCACAATATTCCTTACAAAAGTGAGAAACAAAGAGGAGGCAAAAGGTTTCCAACTTTTCTTTGCTATTTTTCCCTATACTTTTCCCTTCAAACAATAAAATTCCTTTAAGAAGTAATGATATAACAGTATAATCATGTCATTCCCTCTTTCCTCCCTTCCTTTTCAACCAAACAAAAGGAGGAAAAGACTCCTTCCAATTTTCCATCTCACATGTTAACAATATGACTCACAAAAGCACCATCAGCAAAATCCAAAAACTGAAAAAGAAAGTACTGAGAACAGGCTGAAGTTAAGTTCGTTTCCAGAAGCTAAAAGTTCAAAATTATAACACATACATGCACACATCACATAAGTACATGCACAGAATAAATGAGGAACTATTACTTTCTGTTACTTAAACCCACCATAGGTTTTTCATAAAATGGAAAGTTCTGCATCTGTCGCACTGCGTTACTGGCAGCTGTCACTTCACTAAACACAACCCATGCTTGTCCTCGAAGCTTGGTCGTCTTCAGGGAAACAATGTCCAGAATCCTTCCATACTGCGAGAACAAGGCGTAAAGAGATCTCTTCAACTCTGCCACAATAAAATAAGGTGAATTTTGCATTAATTCCATAATTAGCTGACTTCTAAGATACAAGTGGTTATACATATGAACATTTAATTGCGCAAGAGATTATTATTATTTTTTTATAAGTAATTGTGCAAGAGATTCTTGTGAATCAACTCTTCAAACAGGAAGCCAATAGGCTCTAGCCTGGATGGTATAAGCTCTCCCTCCCCAAATGGGGGGTTGAGTGTTCGAGCCCCGGTGGGGGCAATATATATATATATATATAGTGTGTGTGTGTGTGTGTGTGTTTGCTTCACAATTCTAAAAAAAAAAAACAGAAAAAAAAACTCTTCAAACAGGCACATAAAAATAATCTGCAAGACGCGTTCACTTGTGAAGTTTGACCCCATAAATTTAACAGCACATATGAAGTCTGATTAGTATGTTGCACAGTAAGTGTATGCCAACCCCGAAAATGCACACACATGGTAAAAAATGTGACTTATGGAAACTAAGACATAAATCAGTTACTGAGCTTATCTAACTTTTGCATGCCAGCTATATGAATATATATATGCAAAAAAAGGAAAGCAGTAAAAGTGAGAAGATGCCGAGAGGGATGACTGTGTAAAGAATCTGGTCCCATGGGAGGAACAAGTGAACCGCCAAAGTTCAGAAAACAGTATACAAACACAAAAGCCCCTTCAACTTTTGTTTAAAGATCTTATCAATGTTACCTCTGATTTGTTGTGTGTTGAGAAGCACCTTCTTACTCTTTCCACAGTACAATAATGCCATTTTAAGCAAACACTTTCAAAATGACCTCGCATGTTGAGGAGTTTGAAGGGTCTAAATATCTAGTCCACTATTTCTCTTCTTTTTCATTCTTCCATCAAGAGCAGAAGAGAGAAATTAGAGGATTCATAGGGGGTGGGGTTTTCAAATTTTTTGACAGACAGTTTTTATATAATTAATAAGGTGCCTCGAATACAGGGAGTTCATGTATAGAAAAAAAAAAAATATATATATATATATATATATATATATATATATATATATATATAAAGGCTCTAATCAAATTTCTTTCTGTTTAAAAAGAATATGATGTTATATATTATGCAGGTAGAAAAGCAATCGTACACTGCTTGTTCAAAGAACTATTGCAACTCCAAAGACAATCATCAGTTAGTAATTATTTACAAGCAACCCCTGGAAGTTCCCATACCCCCATTATAAGCCCACTGATTATTCCAGAATTCTGTACCTTTACACCATCAACAATTCAAGAGCAAAATTTACACAAAATATAAATATACGGTCCGGTTATGTTGAGGTAAAATTGTCATTTTAATACAAAACCAGAAAGCTGAGAAATGAGAGAAGGAAAACAGCGAATAAAGGATACAACTAAAAGGGAATATAACCATGTCCATCAAATATGCATGAATTTTTTCCACTTCGCAAAATATTTAAAAATACAAAATTAAGATTAGAGAAGAGGAAAGCTAAGACATTATGTAGTCTTTCCTTCAGACCTACTGTGATCAAAGCATGCCTTTGAATGTTATCAAAGAGGCAAAACTTACCGTGTCTAAATCACATTCACAGACAGGAAGTTTTAGTAAGCCATCTTGAAGGAAGGTAAGACATACTGATGTCGCTTTTTAGTAGTCTCATTTGAAATAATTTAATCGTAAAAAAAGCCTTTATTTTGCATTAATTCAATCGTATCATTATCCTTTCTTTTATAAATGACCATTAATTGACATGTTCTATTATTTCTATATCCTATACCCCGTATCACTGTCACGATCGAATGATCGATTAATCATATTGCTTAATTCTATCATATACTTGGGTTTTCCACAATTTATGAGTTTATGGTTCACTACTTGTATTAAATGTCTTTAGTGCATGATTATGAAAGTTTATGATAATATAATGTATCCTTAAAATTAAGATGTCTTTTATTATTGCACTTTGGGAATAATATTTGACCTATTTGATGCATATGCATTGATGTGATGAAAAAAATATGGGATGGGCAATACCCCTGTGCTGAAAAACAATTTAGCTGAACATCTTAGTTGATGTGCCATATCAGATGGACGGCTTCTTTGGGAAAGATATTGACAAATGGCAACCTAAGGCGGCAGCGGTAGAGCAAATTTATTGGCATTGCATGTGTAATAGTGCTGAAGAGTCCGTAAAGCATCTCCTCTTGCACTGTCCAGTGGCCATAGAGGGATGGGACTGCTCCTCGACCTATTTGGTGTTAGTTGGGTGATGCTATTTTCCACTAGGAGCTTGCTTGAAATTTGGAAAGGGTGTATAGTGGGGAAGCCAGAAGCAAGCTCGTGATGCTTGAAGAACTGCTCCTCTGTCTTTGGTGGGGCTTATGGTGGGAGAGAAATAGGACATCCTTTGATGGGGATGAGTCTCTTATTTATGTTTTTAATATATGTACTTAGTTCCAATTTATTATTTATTATTTATTTATTTTATTCACGGTAGACAATGAAAATCTGTGGAGGGGCTCACCTTTTTTTTTTTTTTTTTGTCGGATAACTTGAGATTATAGTGTTTCTTTTGGCCTTGTGGGATTTTAAGCGGGATGCACTCCCCTTTTGAGTGCCTTTTTTTATACACTTACCAACAAGAAGAAAAGAAAAAAGTGTTGGGATGATTAAAAAGTTTTGGAACCATTAATGACCAAGCCTTGCAACAGCAAAAGGGAGTTAAAATCCAAAAAAGGAAAAAAAAATAAAGCAATACAAATGAGCCATTGAAGATTTGTTTGGTTATATTTTGTGAAAGTATTCACTTATTGGTTTTAATAACAGCTAGTAGGGTTTCATGATTACGAAATTGACAAAATATTCAATCACTCGAAATCCAGTGCTGCTAGAATTCTACCAATTTGTTTCAAACATACCAACCCTAGTTTTTCAACGGGTTGCTGAATAAATGAAAGAAGGATAACATTATATAAAATTTTGAGTGGTAGGGTTAATGTTGGCCACTCCCAAGATTCACCCCAACCCTAATTAAAGGATTTGTATATTCAAGGTGGTCAAGTAAGTCCCAACACAACCCACCAAATAATTATATCTATTATATTAGGTATAATTGGGGAACTCAATTCATTTCATGAGATCCTAAATCACATTAAATTGAGATTCAAATTGTTGTTTATCATCCTACAGCTTCTCAGTAACCAAACAGGGCATAAATGAACATATAAATATGCAGAAAGCACTTCTCACCTTTTTCAATTGAATTACTGAATCTTTGAAACAGTGATTAAAAAAGCACAAGACTCAAACCAAATTCTACAATGAAAGCAACTGAAAGTATGCATTTAACATAAGGGTATCAATTAGACGCTGTCATATTCAAAGTAGTAGTTGAAGTTGGAACAAACACTGTGAATCGCACAATAATATAGATCAACCATCGCCATAACTCAGACAAAACTTACCTTCTTTCTTGACCTTCTCGTTGAGATTCTTTATGTATATGGTCTGATTAGGCGGTATGTCCCCAGAGAGCATTGTCACTGAACACCACCTTCAGATACACAGAGAGTATTTGAGAGAGAGAGAGAGTACTTCGAACAGGTTTGAGCCCTAATTTAAAACAGCCGTGTAGTCACTAGTGTGATATTTAGGTGGGCCTAGATAATCGCCCTGGTAAATGGGCCTTGGTTTCATTCATGTTGGTCATGTCAGCTCACCTAAATGTCCAATAATAATCTTATCATATTATTATATTATAAATCATAGTTAGCATGAAAACTTTCCAAGTAGTGATAGATAATGATTTTAATTTTAATGTAATTTGTTCTAAATTCACTTCTTATGACATTTTCCTAATATTGTTTGACAAAATTGAAAAAAAAAAAATAGTACAAAATACCTTTTTTTTTTTTTTTTTCTTAGTTAAAATTCACACACCAAGTCATAGATTTGTCCGAATGAAGACTTGAATCATCAACCTTCTATTTTGAAAAGTGTAAAAGTACTAATAAACTATTATCATGGATGATTTTAGTATGAATAATTTGTTTTAAGTATTTTAAGCAATTAAATAAAATAAATTACTAGATTTGAAAGTGCTCTTCAACAAACACTTTAATTGTTGTGATGTTTACTAAAGGTTATAGCTTAGTGATACTTTATCGCTTTTCAAAATAGAAGAGTGATTGTTTAGGTCCTCGTGGAGGCAAAGTGGGTGTCGTGGAGGCAAAGTGGGTGTGTGAGTTTCTTAGCAAAGTAAAAACAAATTGCTGCCATGTTTGGTAGGCAAAATAATGGAAGGAATGGAAGAAATGGAAAAGTATAAATTAGAAAAGGAGAGTAAGGGTGTTGTTTGATCAAACTGAAAATTATAAGAATTGGATTTTAAGTGCTGAAGTTTGTAAGTGGTAATTAAAAATACATATTTTTAATATCTTTTTTAATTTTCAGTGTTCAGCCTTCAGTAATAAGTAATGTCTCTATCATATAAAATTTTATCCTATTTTAAGTGACAATTACCATTTTCAGTGATATTTAAATTGTGTTATTAAACACACTTAATTAAATAAGTGATGAATTCATTCAAAATTAAGTGTTGAATTGAGCTTTCAAACAACACTTAAGTAAGGAGAAGGCCGTCTCATTTTGTAGAAACAAATGGCAAAGAGAAAGGAAATGAAAAGGAGAGGTTCCCTTTTCCATCTACTTCATACCTTGGATGTCGATTTATTGAATTAAGGCTATGTTCTGGCTGTATGGAATTGAAACTTTGAATTAGAATTGGTAAAATTGAAAAAAAGTAACTAAGCAAATTGAACTAAAATTTCTTCCAATTTCAATTTTAAGGCTCCAATTACGTGCAACTAAACACACCCTAAGTAGTTTTATGTATTTAAGTCGATCCACTTGGCATTGCTCTTTTGTATTACTCAGGCTATCTAGTATGCCATGCATGTCACATGACGATGGTGTAGAACTCGCCACATGATGGACTCTACACAAATGTTAAGCAAACTCTTGCCACAAGTAGCACTCTATCTAGTTTCTCAATCCACAAATGCACACTTTCTATTTTCTCAATTTACAAACCCGCATTCTCTTGAAAACCTAAATAAATAAATCAATCCATTCAATACCATACCGACTGACTGGGCTGGCCACTTTTGTAGCTTGACTCTCTACATTCACAAAAGTGGAGAGCTACCCTTGATGGTACAATTGTTTACTAGACAAATTTAAAATTCAAGCGAAATCGCTACAAGATTTGGACCACCCATAGAGAGTTGCATTTTATTTTTCGTAAAACATTTTAGTTCACTGTTTGAACGCTGATAAAGAATTTTCATAAACAGACTTCAACCAGTTTAAATGCAAAGTGACCTCACAACACTCACTTGCACGACCTAGGTGTTGTTCAAACCATGCTAGTTGAGGTGTGGTCCATGATTCATGATGATAAATTCGCACTTTGCTTTCCAACACTTCCTATCCAATACTTTGAGTAAAAATTACAACTACAAAAATCAAGTTTTGCCAACAAAATTTATCAACACACAATTTGCCAACGAAATTCACCAGCTGATGTTTCAACGAAATTTGCTTTAATTATTTACATTTTCCCCAAAATAACAAAAGCTTTAGGTTGTGTTTGGGGAGGCTTCTTGATGTAAAAAATCCTTTCATTATAAATGGCTTACAAGAATGCCTTCGCAAAAACAAATTTAAAAATAAAAAGTTGTTTGACTAACATCATGTCAAAAAGTGCTTTTATCTGCAAAAGTGATTTTATTCACATGATGTATGTTTGGTAACAATGTGTTAAAAAGTCCTACTATTAAATAATTTCAAATTTATAATAATAACCTTACATAATATTTACATATCTTACATCAAACACAATTATTGAATCATATTAGCACCAGTATTTTGTCATCCCAAAAACAACATAGAGTATTGCCATTAATATTTTCTTACATTTTCTAAGAACACAATGGTTATCAATTTCATATCCATAACAAACCCAGGAATCTTCACATCCATAACAAGTCCAGGAATCATTACATCCATATGGACTTTGTAACGACCCGGTCATTTGCCTTCCTTTCCTTTTTCCTGAAATTTTACGAATGAATTTTTTTCGTTTAATTTTCCTTTCTGAGCTTTGTTTCGTGTCGCTTAGTGTCATCTCGAGTGCTCGGAATTGGTTTCTGAGACTCTTTCATGTGAATTGACAACTTCCTTTGAGGACCGAGTCATTTTCACATTTTTCGATACTATGCGCTATTTCGTCCTTTTCCCTATTTCGTCTTATCTCCGTTTGTCAGTTTTTGGCACAACCTCACTTTTCAAGCTTGGAGTTGGTTTTTGACTTCACGTGCCTTCATCTTGAGTGGTTTCCACGAAATACGTATATTTACTTTTGCAAGAAAGTACTCTACTTGCTCCCGGTGCCCATAGGGGCATGGATGTATAAATCTTTGGAATTAATTTCATTTCTTGGGGTTTTTTCATAAATATCTTTTGAAGATATTTTATTTCAGGGGCATCTAAGAAAATATTTTTTGGAAGATATTTTCATTCTGGGACAGTTTCGCAGTTAACCCTTTTTGTAGGGGCCATTGTGCAATTAACGAAAGTTATTATAAAATATCTTGTTTGGAGCCTGGATCCTCGTACGGGATTCATTTTCACTTTTTGTTGACTTGTAAATTCATAGAATTCTGTTCTGGTCGTTTTTCTCCAATTTCAGAGTTTCTGGACCCGGTTGCCGCCGAACTTGTTCGGGGCATAACTTTCTGCTCGGGACTCGATTTTTGACGCCGTTTCTTTCGTTGTTCATATTTTATCATTTTGAATCTTTTTCATTCACAAAGTTTTGCCATTTGAGGGCGTTTGCTCAAATTTTACTTTTTCGGACCCGGCGGGGCCCGTTCGGGGCACTTTTTGAGATTTCTATAAAAGGGGGGGTGAGATATTTCATTTTTCATCTTCTCCCCTCTTCATGCACGACCTGGAGCTCCCATGGCAGCCCAAGGGGTGCTGCCATCTTCTCTCTCCTCTTTTGGTTCACTTTTCCTTGATGGAAAGTCTTCGGCCTTAACGTTTGTTGTTCCCCTCGCCGTGCTCTACCTTTCCCCCTTATTAGAATTCAGTTTTGACCATTTCTTGAGTTTGGTTTTGAGGTCAAGTTATGATTTTGATGGGGCTTTCATGTGGGTTATGTTCACGGCGTTGTCCCCGACAAAACCTAGTAGTTTCGTCGGATTCGGAGCCGTTCCATTTTGATGGCATTTGAGATTTTCATCTCAAATTGAGGTAGGGGATGTTTTAGGTTTAAATTCTTGTTATATAGCATACTTGTGATGCTTATACTACTTATTTGCATGATTAAATATAAAATCTAGAGATTTGATTATTTATTTTTCTTGTACGGGATCTAATTTTTCTGGTTGCTCATGATTTGGTTTAAACATGTAGCATGATTTTATATTACCCCTTGATATGCTCATTGTCGTGTATTAAAATTGGAACATTTGAATAAGTATTAAAGATTTTATTTAATATTTATCTTAAGTGAAAGATTAATTCACATGGTCTTAACTAGCTTAAAATCAATATGTATTAGTATATTAAATTAGGCCTTAACATGCTCTCCAACATAGTTGAATTTGAAAGTGATTGGAGGTGTTTTGAAAATTAGTAATTATTAATTAATTTGATTAATTAATTTGCCCCGAGTGCACTATTCACTCTATTTAAATTTCGACTTGATATTCTTGATTTACATGCCATATAGCTTCACATATATTTAATTTAGAATATTCGGTTAGGTTTTGAAACCTTTTATTTAATTAAATTCCATGTTTAAGATTTAATCCTCATGGTGATATACAACTTGGAATTGTATTGTGGCATGCTAGACAATTAAGTTTTGGTATGGTTGTTCACATGTATTAAATTGGGATTTATTGCATGAGAATTGCAACTTTTGTTTTATATTTAACTTTAGTGAAAGTTTAATTCACATGGTCTTAAATTGAATGAAATAAGCTTGTAATGTGATATTACATTAGTCCTTGGCATGTTCTCTAAGATATGTTAAATTGAGAGCATTTGGTTAAGTTTGAAAATATAGAGATTTTAATTAAAAGAATTAATTAAAATCTATTTTGTGGTCCCATTAGCTTAATTAAGATTTTAACTTGATATTTGTATTGACCATGACTTGTTTACTAGTATATATTAATTGTGAACTATTTGAAGTTACTTTAGAACCTTGGTAATTAAATTAGCATGATTTAATTAAAGTTCTACCTTGTTGTTCCAACAAGCTAATTGAGTTTTAGAATGGATATAGGTGATGATCATGCCATGTCCTTTAACATGTATTAAATTGAAGTTATTTGAAATTGGATCAGAATCTAGAGAATTTAATTGTGTTTATCTATTTAAATTCTATCAATTTGCTCCATGATCTAGTTGTGTTTTAGAAGTGGTTTCTATATTCAAATCATGGACTTGGACTTGTTGTATATTCATTTGGTTATGTTTTGAACATTGGATAACATAGTTGCTATGTTTGTATTCATGAGAATATGTTTTCCTTATTGAATATATT